GATGGTTGGGGCAGGGATGGCAGAGGCAGAGATGGCAACTAGGGTTGACGGTGGAGTCTATGGCAGACAGTGGCGACGCTGACGCAGTCGGTGTCGATGAAGGTGGGGGCGGGGCGGAGGGCGAAGACAGTTGGTGGCGACGTCGAAAGCAGCGGCGTCGGTGGCGGCGTCGATGGAGGCGGGGGCGGCAGGGAGGGCGGGGGAGGCGACGGAGGCGGGGGCGGCACGGATGGTGGCGGCGGCGATGGAGGCGGGGGCGGCAGGGAGGGCGGGGGCGGTGATGGTGGCGGCAGCGATGGCGGAGGCAGAGATGGCAACGGTGATGGCGGTGGCGGCGGTGGCGGCGGTGGCGGCGCTGACGGTGGCGGTGGCGATGGAGGTGGGGGCGGGGCGGAGGGCGGAGGCGGTGGTGGCGGCGGCGGAAGCAGCGGCGACGGTGGCGGCGGCGATGGAGGCAGGGGCGGCAAGGAGGGCGGGGGGGGCGACGGAGGCGGGGGCGGCACGGATGGTGGCGGTGGTGATGGGGGCGGGGGCGGCAGGGAGGGCGGGGGCGGCGATGGTGGCAGCGGCAGTGGCGATGGTGGCGGTGACGATGGCGGAGGCAGAACGGGCAAAGGTGATGATGACGGTGGCGGTGGGGGCGGCGCTGACGGAGGCGGGGGCGGCACAGAGCGCGGGGGTGGTGGCGACGGTGGTGGGAGGAAGGGTGGCGGAGGCAACGACAGCGTGCATTCCGTCCATTCTGCTGGGCTCGCGCAAGCACCGTCAGCGACAATGCAGGGCTTGATCAGGTTTGCGTCGCCGCCGAGCTGTCGTTCGTATGAGTTAGTGCAGGCTTCGACAGTGGCGCTCGCGCATCCATTGGCAGCTGCGGCGGCGGCGGCTGCCGCCGCGGCCGCTGCCAGGTCGACAGGAGGCGCGGGGGCTGGCAACAGGCACTGAGCACAACCGACGCAGCTCAGCATGTCACACTTGTTTTCCCAGTCACGCGTGTTGGTCAGGCAAAAGGGCCGGCACAGCGCGGGTGGCGAGGGAGGCGCGCACTCTGAGCACCCGGTGCACTTAGGCAGGCCACACCTTGCGTCCCAGTCGCGGGTGAGCGTTTCGCAGAACGGCCGACACTCCAATTCGCTGAGCTGGCGGGGCGCACCCCGGGACCGGAGCGTGCTTGTCGCTAGCATGGACCCGGTCGTAATGATGTCGCACAGCGGCGGGGACGGGGGTGCGGGCGGCGGCGGGCCAGGACAAGGCTCGCCGACCACCGTGATTTTGGCATTCATGTTAGCGTGCGGCGGGCAATAGAATGGGTACTCGCCTGGCTCCTCAAATTTGAAGGAGAACGATTGCCCACTGCTGAGCCACTCCGACGCGAAGGTGCCGTCTGGGTTCGGGCGAATGCCCGATACAACCTGGTGCCCTCCGCGTGCGACCCACTTGACCGTTTCGCACGTCTGGACAGTGATGGAGGCTTCCTGGCAGAAGGCGCCAGCCGGCGCGTTGCAGCTGAATCCCCAATCGAGGGTTGTCGCCATGGGGTTGGCGAGATGCAGAGGCGATGCCGTGCCCACGACGGCGCTGGATTTTACACTCCATCCGTCATCTCTCTCGAGCGAGAGTAAACGTGGCCTAATTGAGGGTAAACGAAGCGTAAATGAGGCGTAGGAGGGTTCACGAGGCGCGTAAATATGCGGGTAAGAGGAGAATGATAAATTTAATTTTCTCGTCTGCGCGTGTATTTAAATTAATGCGAATGGTGGAGGTGAGTCACACACAGGGTGAACCTTCTTTTGTACACCGCTAGGATTGAGAGCAGCGCTGCTCTCAATCCTAGAAGTCGAAGGATTGTGAGCAGCACTCCTCGCAATCGTAGCATCTCTGTACGATTGCTAGCACCTACGCTCGCAATCCTACATCTTCTAGGACTGAGAGCAGCTCCGCTCCCAAAGTGACTGACTGGTGACGCCTACGACTACTACCAGCGCGCTCGCAATCCGAGCAAAGTCTAGGATTGCGAGCAGCACGGCTCACAATCCGAGCAACATGCCTCCGATTGCGAGCAGTAGCGCTCGCAATCCTACATCTTGTAGGACTATGAGCGGCGGCGCTCACAATCGTACCAAAGATCCAAGGATTGCTAGCGAAACAGAGGGCACTCCCAATCGCTCCAGCCGCGAGCGCTTGTGAGTGAGCGCGCCGGGAGGGTCTCCTCACAATCCAACAGTGATCGCACCGATTGCGAGGGGACCCGCTCGCAATCCTAGAAGTCGTAGGACTGTGGGCGGTGTCGCTCGCAATCGGCGAACGTTTTAAGGATTGCGAGCGCTCCTGCTCGCAATCGGAGGCTTGTCGCTAGGATTGTGAGCAGTGCTGCCCGCAGTCCTAGACTTTGCTCGGATTGCGAGCGCGCTGGTAGTAGTCGTAGGCGTCACCAGTCATCTTGGGAGCGGAGCTGCTCTTAGTCCTAAGGGGAGAATTCAGAATAAAGCCGTAGAAGATGTATGTAGGATTGCGAGCGTAGGTGCTAGCAATCGCACAGAGATGCTACGATTGCGAGGAGTGCTGCTCACAATCCTTCGACTTCTAGGATTGAGAGCGAGGCTGCTCTCAATCCTAGCGGTGTACAAAAGAAAGGTTCACCCACACACAGATCACGCAGTTTCACACCAGGTGAGTTGAGAGGTCAGAGACGAGAGAAATTAGAGTTTATTTGTTGTTCACAGTCAAAGAGGGTTGAGTTCGTGGAGAAGGAGAATTTTACAACAAAACTCCCTCGCACGACACTGGGCACGGGACTGGCGCGCACTGGCACTAGCACAGGTACACCGAGAATCTCACTAGGGGCAGGCGACAGCCGCACCACGCGACGCGCCCCAAGTCCCACGCACAACAAAACTCTCCAGCGTTTCGCCGCGAAGGCTGCACACCATCCGTGCTCTGCTCCAGCCCCAGCACCGCAGCTCTGTCCCCTGCCCAATCCCCGCATGACTCAGACATGGGGTTGCGGCCACGCGTCAACCGGCGAGCAACCCGCACGTCCAGCGGCTGATGCACTCGCCGCAGGCTGATCTCCTCGGCGGCGGCGCGCTCGAGCTGTAGAGAGGACAGAGGGCGCACGCGGTGAGCGTGCGAGCAAGGGTGAGCGAGAGAGGGAGCCGGTGGGCGAGAGGAAGAGGATGATGGAATGTCTGCGTATGCATATGCGGGAGCGGCGCGCACGGAAGCGTAAAGTCGAGGTCGTCATCGTCCTCAACCTCATCGAGATGCCTGCGCCGCGCAGGGGCGCCCCTCGGCCCGGGGTGGGGTGGGGTGGGGTGGGGGGGGGGTGGGGGGGGGAAGGGAAGCGCAGCCTCAGGCTGCAGCAGCGGGCTGGACACGGCCCCATGTAGGGCTGTCTCCCCCAAGCAGCCGCGCGGCTGCGCGTATGCTCAGCGCGCTGAGTCCGCGTGAAGGAGGGGCGCGGGGAGAGGCGGGCGGCAATCGCACCAGCCATCTCGCTGCAGCTGCTGCTCATAGAAGGACTCGCCGAGGCCCTCCTGCTAGCAACGGCAACAAGCACGAGACGGTCGGAAAAGGCCGGGCACAAGGCAGCACGGCACTCGCGCGCCAGCCAGCCCCAGCCGCCCCCCCAGCCCTGTCCGACACCCTGTGCGCATGCAATCTCGCCGCGGGCCGCCCAAAATGAGGCGGGAACAGTGGAGGCGTGGACGCACCAGCTCTGTGTCGGTGTGCGCCAGCGAAGCGTAGCCGCCGCCCTTCCCCCTGCCCGCCAGGCCGCGCTCTGCGAAGCAGCGGCGCGCCAGTCAGCGTGTGGGCGTCTGCGGCCGGGATGTCGCGGGACAGCGGACCAGCCAGCATGGCAGGGTGGCTGCGGCGTCGCACGCAGGGGCGCGCTTCTCTGCAGCGCGCGCGCGCTTGCACTGCTCACGCAACGCACCTATACGTCCCTTGGCACTCTGCAGCATCTGCATCAAGGCGGGCACGGTGCAGAGGCAATATTGAAAGAGGAGAGGAGGCGAACAGAGAGGAGAGGCGAGCCGCGCTGCGCAGAGCAGCTTGCAGTGAGAAATATCGGGTCGTGCGTAGGGACCCTACTGTGGGCGCCAGGCATCCCTCCGGGGGCCCCTCTGCGCGCCGGGGAGGCGTTGTTGGAGGCTAGGACGCAAGCGTCCGTCGCCTTTTTTCAAACTCGGGGCCCACTCCGCTACGCTCCGACCCGAATTTAACCTCCTCTGCCAGGGGCCCCTCCATCCACTCGCCTGCACCTGCTCGAACCCTGAGCACTGTGCGGCGTTGCACGCTCGAAGTCGTGCATGATGTAGTAATTATTGTCTTGAGTATTGCGCGTCTCTCGACAGAGCGCGCTAGCCTCTACCCCTTCGGTCCGTCGAATCTCGGCGCGGCAGATGCGACGCCGAGACTGACGAAACCTCCCTGTGGTGGGCTGCTGAGCCTCCCCACGCTCGACCTTTGAGGTAGTATGATGGAAGGGCGATGCCCGGAACGGCCTAAGCTCAGCTGAACCCCACGCAAAGACCTCCTTGAATCCACCGTCAAAGATAAGGGCAACTGGCGGTTGAGTCGCTGACGCCGCACGACTATGCGCCCGAGCGACCGATCGCGATTATCGACCGATCTAGCAACTATCCCAACGAGTAGTCCGGTGCTCCGGTAAAACTCCCCCGCCCCCGCCGTAGCGATGACGATGAGGAAATAGCACCCGACGCGAGTCGGGCCTACACTCGCTTGGGTGGCAAGCACGCCACAGTTGCACTCATCAACAGTGTCAAGCACTATTGCCACTGTCGACTTAAACGATAGGAGCTGTCGACCTGATTGCTGCTACGTCGTGATCCAAATTTTGACTGAACGAAGATGATCCTGTCACACGGACTGCTGCTTCGACGTCGAAGAGCATTACTCCAACCGCGTCGACAATCAACCACTGTCGCCACATCGACCCATGGGCGGAAATCATGCGCCGCGCAAGGCAATTGAAGATCGCGACCAGTATAGTGTATCGATCGACCTGCCCATCTGGCGTGCGCACTGAGCTGGTAGCAGACACTGGATCTCTCTGAATCTGAATCCGAGCGTGAGACTAATCAAGCATCTACCCAAAGTCCCTACACAGAAAGAGGCGAGTGAGGGACTCTCTCGGCGGATCTCTGGACAGCCTCGGCCAGTCTCGGCCCACCTCGGCCAATCTCGGGGCCAATCTCGGGGCAAATCTCGGCCAATCTCGGCCAACCCCGGCCAATCTCGGCCGACCTCGGCCAATCTCGGCCAACCTCGGCCTATCTCGGCCAGCCTTGGCCATCCTCGTCCACCCTTGGCCCACGCGCCAACCACCTCGGCCCACGCGCCCAACCACCATGGCCCACGCGCCAATCTCCTTTGGTCGATGGCGGGCCCATCGAGTGCCCTCCCGCCATCGCCTCCGGCAACGCCCCAGTCGAGTCCGGTGTCATCAGTGACAGGTCATTCGACCGAGCCCGAACCCGCCCGACATCCTCGGCGGCCGCCTCTCAGACCCTACGCCACGCGGGCCGAAGGGTCAGAGATTGACCGTGGAGCGCGCCGCACTCGCCTGTTGCCCCACACGAACACCACGATCCCCATCTAGGACGGGTAGTCGCGCGGGGCGCTCCCAGCCACACCGACATACTCGGGAGCATGTTGACGGCGCCACGTACCTCCATAACTACTCGGAGGGCGGCGTGTCGTGGCCCGCCTCCCGCCCTTGAGGGCGTCGAGACGGGGCCGACCGCGTCTGCCGTAATTAACGGCGGCGAGTGAATCGACCCTCGCCCATACCTTCATCCACGGCCATGCGACACGCGGAAGAAAGCTGAACGGGGGCCTAGGGTCGGTCGGCAGCAGACCGCCACTGCAGGCTGCTGCTCGACCGCCCTGGAATCAAAGGCGGGGATGCCAACCTCTCGTCTGGCCCACTGAATGTGTCTCCCGTACCCGGCCGCTGCTCCCGGCAGTAGCACGAATACGGCTGACTGTCCATCCGGACATTTGAAAGTATCAACTCGCACCCGGTCCCCGCTCCCGGCAGGAACACGAGCACGAGCCAGCTGGGTTCTGCTCCCGGCAGGACCAACAGCTGAGATACTCTCGTCTCTCACGCTCGGTCCCTGAGACCAGTTACACGAGCGCGAGAGTCAGCCGGGCCCCGCTCCCGGCAGGACCACAATTGAATACAGCGAACGTACAGGCTCGAGGTGGCATCGCCTCCTGATCCGCAGCGGTTGCAGTCGCTACGAGTAGTACGCTCGCGGTCCACCACCCTACACTGAGCGGGGCGCGGATCCGCAAAGGTGAACCACGGCGACCATCCCGTGCTTCCAGTCGTTCTTGAGCGAATCGAGAAACTGCTCGGGGGTGTCGGGCAGCCGCTTGGAGAGCGCGGAGGCGGCGCCGGAGACGTTGGCGTCAGGCGAAGACTGAAACCAGGCCTGACACCTCCTTGGAGTTGTTCCAGCGCATCGCGATGGCGAGTCGGGGCGAGCGATCGATGGTGGGGGTAAGAGAGGCATTCACCTTTGGGTCGACGCGAGGAGGGGCCTCGGACTGCAGGTAGTACTGGATTGCCTCGTCGAGGCGCGGATCGTGGCCAGGCGTCATCGATCGCAGGCAGAGGATGTTTGGGATGGCGAGGCAATCGATCTCTGTCTGTTTTGAAGTCGCCGTCTTTTGGCGCCATGTGCATCCACACAAAGTCCGCGCCTGCGCCACGATCCGTCGCGTCGCGCAGCCGCATCTGCGACGACGGGTCGACATAGCAGAATCCAAAAACCTTGATGCGCGCCATCCTCGTGGCCTCTTCTCGCGCCGCCGCCGACTGCATCTCGTGTGCAGTTGTCGGCGTGACTCTTCGAGTTCTCGCTGGAGGCGCTCCACCATGTGCTGGTGGTCCGCCCGCTCGACTTCGTCTGGCCACCTGGGAGTCTCGCGTCGAACGCCTTCGACCCTGTTCACGACGCTGTTCACGAGCTGTTCTCGAGCAGCCAGTAGTTGTCGCGGCTGTACAGCCGCTTCGACGGTCGTTCCATACCCACCAGATCACTACGGCACCAGGACGGGCTGGTGTGCTCGGCTCAAGTCGAGCGTGTGGGTGACCTCTCGGTCGCAGCCTCACGCGCAGGGCAACGGGCGCAAGAGGTAGGAAGCCGCCGGATGTAAGTGGGGCGGGTTTGCTGCTGCGGGGTCCACTCCCGGGCCGAAGCGCCCAAATCAGCAGGTCGAGGAGCGAGGCGGGCCCGGCGAGGAGAAAACCGGCCCGGCAAAAGCATGCTCGGCGGCCCGGGAGCGGCCACTTTTGACCCGGCCGGGGCCCGCCGCGGTGCCCCTGCCGGGCCCGGATCCGGCCCCGCCCGGGCCGTCCGGGGCCCCAGTTATATCCGGCGGCTTCCTACGTAGGTGACGATCTTACGCGCGAGACACGGTCCGACCGTGACAGGGCTTGACGCGTCAAAGGACCTCGTGAGCGGTGCTTTCCCCCCCGTTCTGTGGCGAGACACGCAAGCTGCGCGACCGCGCCTGTGCGTGACGGCACAGCGGCTAGTTCCAATTCATTCTGACACGCTAATCTTGAAAACGTCCAACGGAGCTCCGTGTTGCTCCCCAACACGTCGCGACATCGTCCGATGATGGTGCCGCAAAGTCAGACTTCGGAGGCTATCGTGGGGTCGAGCCGGCACCCACGAGTTGGGGAGTTTTGACCGGCCTCTGCCATCGCCTGCGTGCCAAGAGTCCAAACGCAAAATCGCCCCCCTCAGTGTGCGCCCGGAACTCGAGGAGCGGCGGGGTCAGGGCTCTCGGACGACCGGTCGTATGGGAGAGTCTGCGCTGGTGCGCGTCTCGAAACACATCACTCGCCCTCTCGCAGCACACAGCGTGCACTCGCCTCTCGCGCTCTCGACGCACATCCTCTCGGGGCCTTCGCGAGCTGAGCTGCACACGACGACCTCCCCGCACGTTCGGAGACAAGTCTCTGGGGACAGTCACACAGTCTCGTTCGCACTGGCTGCCCGCGGCGCGTCGCGAAGAGACCTCTTCTCTGTAAAGCGCCTCAGCCGCGTTGCCAGTCGACTCAGCGCCGTGCCCAACTCTCGATGCCGTAGCCTGAGGTGCAGAAGCGCTCGCCCTGCACGTTGCCACTCTTGCGCTCAAGAGGTTCGGGTTGAACTTGCTGCCCGCATAGCGCCCCACGGCCCTCGCGGAGGGCGGCAGCGAGGCGCAGGCGGGCGGCGCTGGCGGCGGCGGCGACCGCTGGCGGGCGACGGTTGCCTCGTTGTACAGCTCTGGTGCGCGGTCTCGCGTCGGATTGGTCGAAAAGTGGATGTGCCAGTTGACGCCCGGGAAGGGCGACGCGCCCTGCATCGACTCGCGCGCGCGCGACGCGTCCTCGATGCTCTCAAACTCGACAAAGGCAACAAGTTTGCCGTTGCGATCGTAGCGCGTCCGGCACGACTCGTAGCCGACAAAGCCGCGGAAGTAACGCTCGAGGACGCCGTCCGTGATGTCGGACGGAAGCTCGGGAAGGAAGAGCGTCTGGGATGGCTGTGCACGGCTCAGGCCGGCGGGAGGGGGGGGCTGGCGCGGCTGCAGGTAGTCTGGCGGCGGCATGAAGCTGCCGGCGAACGGGTTCGTCGATGGCGGCGGCGGTGGCGAGGTCAGTCGCGGAGGAGGGGGCGGAGGTGGCACCCGCATGACCGAGCGCGCCGGGGGCGGCGCTTGGGGCGGGTGGCGGGGCTCCGGGCGGGCTGCGAGCCGCGGGCCCCACCGCTTCTCGTTGGTGCGCGTGTTGACCCAGAAGCACCGGCCCGGTGCGCTGCTGTGGCTGTGCATCAGCAGCCAGTCGCCCGAGTCGTCGGGCGGCGGCAGCGGCGGCGGCTCGAACTGCCAGAAATCGAACGGCGGCGGCGGCGGCGGCGGCTGTGGGTACGGCGACTGGTGCGATGGCTGGTGCGGCGGCAGGTACCGCGGCAGGTACTGCGCCTGCGGCTCGATCTCGAACTGCGGGCGCGGCGGGTGCTGCTCGTGCTGCGGCGGCGGGAACAGCGGCGGCGGCGGCGGCTGCGCGAAGGCCCCCGGATTGTACCAGCCATCGGTTGGCGGCTGGTGCGGCCGGCACGGCTGCTGCTGCGGCGGCGGCGGCGGCGAGGGGCGGGGGGCGGGGATGGCGTCCTCCTGCTCTCGCTGCCACTTGATGCGGATCGCCTTGTACATGGCCTGAAACGTCCAGCAGAAGTTCTGCGCGAGCAACGCAAGGGACACGGGTCAGTGCATACGGGCAGTGAGTCAGGACGGGTGTGCGAGCACGCCTTGTGCGAGGTGTTGATCCACAGGTCCGGGCACTTGCGGCCGTGGTTTGTGAAGATGTTTGTGAGAAAGACAGCCTTGGCACCGCTCGAGAGCTTGAGGTCGACCTCTCGCGCCTGCAGGCGCCCCACGTGTAGCGAGGAGCCAGCCCACGCGACCTTCGTCTGCTCGACGAAGGCCTGCGCCGCCTCGTGCACCTTCTTGGACATGCTCGCCGCGGCCGCAGCCTCCGCAACATCGGGCACGGACTTGAGGAGCAGCGCGCACTCCTCGCTGTTGATCCACCGCAGAGCAAGCAGAAGGGTCTGAGACGGAGGGGGGCGGACCGGCGGTCAGGTGCGCCGGCGGTAGGGAATGTGCGCTGGCGATAGAACGTGTGCGCATGAGCCTGCTTGTCGATGCGAGGGTCGCCGGTCTGCAGGGCGTACTCCAGGGCATTGTTGAGCTCGGGCGACTGGCCATCCATCCGTGCGACGCCCACAACGAGGTCCGGTAGCGTGAGGCCCTCGAGTTGGCTTTGACGGAAGGAACCGGGCTGCGCCGCATGGTGGATGGCAAGCGCATACGCGGGCTCGGGGTTGTGGTCGACGGGGCACAGACACATCTGCGACCTCTCCCCAACGAGCTTGGCGCGGCCGAAGAGCTTTCTTTCTGCCTGCTCCAGCCGAATCCGCGCCGCGTCTCTGGCCTCGAACCCGGCGAGCCGGCCGTCTCTCTCTTCGAGCTGCACGCGGTACTGCTCCAGCTGCGCCGTGACGTGTGGACTGAACGCCGGCGTGCGCGCAAGCGGCCCGGGCACGTAGGTGTTTGGGTCCAACTCGTGCCGTCCGACCATGTAGGGGCTTGGGGCCTGGAGCCCTGTTCACGCGCGCGCGAGACGTGCAGACAGGGTTGCCAGGTGAGAGCTCTCTCTCAAAACCCCGGTGACGCCACAGATGAAATGCTCCACTGGGCTCCCGGCACGCGCCTGCGCGGCGGCGAGCAGTGAAGAGGCGCGGAAAGCTGATTTTTTTACTTTTGGACGCATTTCGGGCTCCGTACTGGTTGACGCAGAGCCGCACGCACCGACCGGCGCCGTTTGCGACCACGAGGGCGGATGCTGGCCATCCCGGGCTCTGTGCACATCGGCAGCACGCGCTCTACGCGCTCCGCTATCCAGATCTTGGCGCCCCACCTCGAGAGCGCCGTTTTTATCTCGTGCAATCTCGAGCCGAGGAGATTAGGCCGAGATCGCTTTGAGCTGCGGGAGATGTTTGGTAGAGCACCGGGGCACAGCTTCGTAGCACGTAGCACGAAGTTTGAAACGCAGCTGTCGAAAAAGAAAGAGTTTTTTGTTTTTCTTTTTCATGTACGTGTTTTTCTTTTTGAAGTTTGACATTTTAATATAAGACTTGTACGCTGTAGCAAAACACTGTACACGACTACAGACAGTCCTCTCCGCCCCCCCTCTCATCACTAGTTCTCTCTCTCAGAGGCGGAGGTGGAGGCGGAGTCAACAGTGACACGACACGGACACGACAGTGGCATGACAGGGACACAGACAGGCACGACAGGGGCAAGACAGGGACACGAGGCGGAGGAGGCTGGCCGCAGAGGCCCACTCAAACCGCCAGGCCAAAGGAAGAGCGCCAGGAGCGGCCGCTACGCTCCTGCCCGGCACCCCGCCCTCGGAGCTCCACCCGGAAAGAGGTCGACGCGTGGCTGCTGCGGCTGCTGCTGCGGCTGATGGCGCTGCTGCCGCCCCCGCCCGCCTTGCCGCCCTCCTCTGCGACGGCGTTCGCGCCCCGCCCGCCGCGCCAGACGTGCGAGAGCAGCAACAGCGCCGGCCGGACGAAGCGGAGGAGCAGCGCCGCCGCGGCGAGAGCGAGCGACGCCTGCAGGATGAGGGGGGTCGGCGGCGCGTCGCGCGGCAGCGAAGCGCGGTACAGGCCCTGCACGGCGAGCTGCGACGCGCTGAGGAGGCCGGCCGAGCCGGCGCAGAGGAGGACCAGCGCCGCCGACGGGAGCGCGTCGAGCGGCGCGCGCATGGCCCCGCAGCGAGCCGCCCGCGGCGACGAGGCCGCCATAGCCCCCGCGGCCGCCGGCCAGCGCAGTAGCCGGAGGAGGTCGAGGTTGAGGGGGGACAGGCCGACCAGGAGGACGGCGAGCCACCGCGGCGAGGGCGCGGCCCCCGGGTCCGCCGCGGAAGCGGAAGGGTCCGCCGCGGAAGGGTCCGCCGCGGAAGCGCCCAGCGGATGGCCCGGCGCTCCCGCGGCGACCGCCGCAAGGTTGAGGCGCGGCACCCGCCCCTCGGTACGGCGCGCCGGCGGGCGGCGCGCGCGGGCGAGCCAGAGGCGTCCCGGACGAGCCCCGCGAGCGAACCAGTGGCAGCCCGCGACGAGAGCGGCGGGGGCGGCGAGGAGGAGGGCGAGCGCGAGGGAGGACGCCATGAGCAGGGCGCAGGACGCCGGATCGGCCGCCGCCGCGCGCAGGGAGAAGGCTTCGCCCGCCTGCTGCTCGAGCGCGGCTGCGATGGCGCCGCCCCATTCGGCCCACACGCCACTCGCCGCCGAGGAGGCGCCCACCCCGCCCTCGTCCTCCGCGCCCACGAGGGCGGGGCGGACCGCCTCGTAGAGCAGCCTGCGCACCGAGAGGGCGTGCGCCGCCATCTCGAGCGCGGCGAGCGGCGGCAGCGCCACCGCGCCGAGCCTCGGCCGCCGGAGCGATGGGAAGCGCACGGCGAGGAACTGCAGCAAGACGGTGACAGAGAGGGTGAGGAGCATCACAAGGGCCTCGACGCCCGCCGGCGTGTCCGAGTCGGCCACCTCGCGCAACATGTCGGCGTACTGCTCGAGGAG